TGCCAACTCTTGTGGAATGAACAGTAGAATGTAGCGACGTTAGCTGAAAGCTAACTCGAGAAGCTAGCAACGTTGAACAGGAGAAGCTAGCGACGTTAGTTTTCGGCTCGAGTCAAACCCCGATTGATGCTATTCATATCAGCGATGAGTAATAATGGCAGTCAGACAAATTGTTGTGCAAGTATATTTCAATAGTACAGTCAAACCTCGGTTTTCGAATGTCTCTGCTCTCGACCAAATCGGTTTTCGACCAAAAATTTCTTTTTTTTTATGCCTCGGATGACGACCGAATTTCGGTTCTCGAACAAACTGAGCGCACTTGAATGTGTCACTTGACTCCTCTCGCCTTCCTTACACGAGGAAGTGACGCTTCCTCATGTAGCATTCCATTGCGAGCAGACGTGTTCAATCAAGATGTTTTTTTTAAAAAGAGCGTGGTTTCGGTTTTCGAACAAATCGGTTTTCGAACAGCTTTCTGGAACGGATTATGGTCAAAAACCGAGGTATGACTGTACAAGTCAAAAAATTATTTGCTAAAAAGAATACTCAAGTACCGAGTAGGCTAACTGCTTGAACATGAAGTCTGATTATTTTTTTTAAACAATGTCATCATAGACAAAAACATAAAATTATGTGCACATGCCTGCATCTTCAAATCATAAAAATAATACCAGCCTATATCTTATCAATCTTGTCATCTCGATGGGTCTTGTCTCCATTCCATGTCAGGTCGTCTGGGCACATTGTTTGCATCCTGATTAGCGTCTGGCTCATACATGCAAGGTCCAACATGTAAAATTCCAACCTCCTCTTCTTCCTCCAACTCTTCAAAACATGGATATCCTCACTTGCGCTCGATCTATCGCTTGTATCGCTGTTTGAATCATTGTTTGAAATGCTTTGCATCTCGGCCGTATGGAGCTCTGCCATCGCTGTTCTCCATGTGACGTAGCACCTCCGGGTTACTCCCCTTTCAGGCTCGAACTTCGGAAAAGCGATTATTTTGTCAAATATACAACATATAAATTATCTTTACATGCTTTATTTGGTGGACAATGTTTAAGTACTTTCATTGTGACCCTATTTGGCATTTCATGAAATTACTTCACACTTGGCCTTTAATCGGACACGAAGATTCAACGAAAGCTGTCTCGGCCCAGCAAAATGATGGTGGGCGCCTTCAGAAGAGCTTTGAGCACGTTGAGTACAATTTTGGAGGATTTGGTCAAGGGTGTCTATCCCTCCTCGCTCCCCATCCTGGCCCGCGGTCAAATCAGCGATGTCTAAACTCTGCATTACGGTAATTTGGAGCCAGCGAGTGGCGTTGGCCACCTTCAAAATAAAAGCACCTCAGTGGTTTGAATTTCAAATATTGTTAAAATAAAAATGTTTAAAATAATTTCTTCAGGTAATGATGAGTTCACCCAGAGAGAATGAAAACTCTCTCAGAGCAGCACCAAAAAGCGATCTGAAGTTGATACAGAAAGTAAAATCACTGTTACTCAACATCAATGACTAAAATTTCACCTGATTAAAAAAATAAAATACAATAAAATATGGATTTGAGTTATCCCAGAATCTTGCCAGGTCTAGGGCACACCAAGCCACTCCAGGTATCCACCACAGTACTTTCATTAAGACCTGATGTTACATTTCAAAATATAAGGCTTTTGAAATCAGCAATTTAGGCCAGTGGTTCCCAAACTTTTTCCTGTGAGGGCCACATAACTTTTCGCTTCTCTGATGGGGGCCCGCGGGGTCAGTTTGTAACAGAAAAATTATGACTGCAAGAGTCCCTAAACATAAAAATGTATTGTTTTCCAGAAACCCACAAAAAAATCTAACAACCTTTTCTGGATTTTTCACAGAACAAAAGTCAGGAAATAAATAATAACACGATTAATGAAATAAATAATAACTAAATAACCCTCAGCGGGTTCTTCGCTGGAAAAAAAGCCAGGAAATAAATAATAATCAACTTTGCTCTGATAAAGTTTTTGCATGGCACCACAACCTTCATGACAGAATCCCAAATTAATATTTTGCAGCACAGTGCTTGCTGGTGAATTGGGCAGTGAATTTGAAACCCCATTCTTCCATCTCCCGGTTAATGCATCCAATTCGACCCCCGAGATGCACCCACCATACTCGGAGCTCGGTGCATTTTGCCGAAAATATCCTCCCCCATTGTAGTCCCTTTGAGACTTTGGAGGGTTGCCAGCTCCTCGCACATATCAAAGTTTGTGCTAACTCCACGAATAAAAATTAGCAGTTGCGCTGTGTCCTGCACATCCGTGATCTCATCCAGTGCCAATGAAAATAATTCAAATTCTTTCGATTTCTTCGAAACGTCTGGTGATTGTACTCGTGGTATTAAAGACATCTGTCTTCTCGGTACACAGCTCCTGCGCGACAGCATTCATGCATTTCTTGACAAACGCTCCGTCAGTAAAAGCTTTTCCGCTGCTTACTATCAGTTGAGCAACCCGAAAGTTCGCCCAAACAGATGACTGGTTCGGCTGAGCTTGGCATACAAATGTATTTTGCTGAGCTAGAATTCCTTTTTTTTAGCTTTGACATTTTTGATTCTGTCCGCTCGCATTTGGCCGTCGTACTTGTCTTTGTGACGGGATTCATAGTGTCTCCGCAGATTGTATTCTTTAAATACCGCCACAGCCTCTTGACAGATGAGACAGCCAGCCAGCCTTTTCTTTGCATTGAACAAAAATAATAATATTAATCGTTTCTCCACTTTGGGTTAAATACCCTGCATTCTGAATCATTTTTTTTCCTCTTACCTAACCTTTTCACCATGATTATGTTCTCTTTGAGAGGGGCAGGTTCAGATTTTTTTTCTGGGGTTGCCAGATAACGGCACAGACCACAGGGCGGAACAAATGTCATGTTATGTGTTTATGAAATAGTTATTAGCCAATCGTTAATAATGGAAATAGTTCAGAACTAAGGAACACTTTATTGCAGAAGCCCAACTTTATGATCCAATACAAATACATATATTGTATGTGAAAAATAAATCAAAATGCCCTCTGGTATTGTTCACGGGGGCCGGATCAAATGTGGAGGCGGGCCGCAGTTTGAGAACCGCCGATTTAGACCTTGATGGTTATTCGTCCGGTTGTGCCATGCGATTGGCTGGCAATCGGTTCAGGGTGTCCCCCGCCTACTGCCTGAAGACAGCTGGGATAGGCTCCAGCACACCCCACGACCCTTGTGAGGATTAAGCAGATCAGAAAATGGGTGGATGGATGGATGTCACATTTTTTAGCATGTCTTCATCGACAGAAGTCACAGTACAAAACATTCCTGTGTGTCAACAGCGTCATGGAAAATGGGGTTGGGTGTCAACTGCCTGAGTAAATGGCGTTCTTTCTCAATAAAAAAATATGGCACCTTGTCAACATTCGTTTCTTCCACGATTAACTTTGAAAATGAAAAGAACAAGTTGGAAATCACACATTCGGCTCATTAAAGGCAGCGATTTTACTCAACAACACTCACAAAACAGCTGCACTTGAATTTATACAAGTTGTACGAGTTAAATCTATCTCTTCTTTTATTTATAATTTTATCTGTGGTTTTTATTGTTTGCGCTTGGTTGTAAAGTGTCCTTGAGTGCTGTGAAAGGCGCTTACAAATAAAATGTATTATTATTATTATTATTATTATTATTATTATTATTATTATTATGAGTTTCCAATGTTTTGTCCACGGATATTCGGACACGTGACCTTCCACGACCAATCCGCCATTGCGGTGGGCAGTCACTCCCACAATTACTCTCTCCTTACATGCAGTTACAACGGAATAACAACAGATAGCACTGTTTATCCAATTGAGCTGGAGTTCATTCTTTTAATCTGTAACTGGTGGAACAACCACCTGTCTTTTCTAAACCGAAGAGTAGACGCCTATCTCAGGTATCTTGGGGCGGGATGCGGGGTGTGTATGGAACACGGGTATGAAAACGATCCAATATTGAGGATATTTTTGTCCCACTCTCATGGACTTAACGAAATTGTGGTTTAAGGTTTTGATGGGCCTCAAATGGACAAAAGCTTTTTTTTCTCCCTTTTCTATTTTGTTTTGTGTGCGATAAGCTTGGCAGTGATGAATTACTGTTGTTTTTTTTTTTTTTTGGTCCTGAAATTATTTTGATACTTGTGCTTCAGTGTCAGTGTGTCTTGGCCATTGTTCACTTTTAATGTATTGTAATTCCCTTCAGTGTCATCAGGATGCACACGGTCGCAGATGCAATCTGTTCGCTTAAAAAAACAAAACAAAACAAAACAAAACGGGAGACGTGAACCAGAAAATTTGTCGGGAATCCAAAACAAATTTACCGGACATTTTTTTGTCTCATGCTATGGACTATTTCAATTTTAGGAATACAAATCAAAATTCCAAATGTTATTAGACTCTTTCCTGACTACAAAGGGAATAATGCTGTATTTTACTTTTGGTGCTTCTATTTTAATACGTACGAAATTCAAATACATCAGATTCCTATCAAGAAAAAAAATCTCTTCCGGTCAACAAACTCTTCGATTGGCTCATTGTGGTCATGTGATTATACAACAGCGGCGCACTCAGTCTGTGACAGCGGCCTGAGGGATTCATGTGGATAGTACTCTGCATTTGGATTGTACGTGTGCAATATGTTAATGGAGTTTGATGTCGTTTCGCTACTTTTGTCATTTTATTGCAGCTTAGCCTGCCACGTTTGCCAAGTAGGCTGCCATTACACTGGTGAGCAGCGTCAGTTGTCGTTGGCCTCCTAATTGATGTCTGAGCTGCACTGTCAACATGACTTGAGAAGAGAAATGAGGAGAAGAAATTGGATAATACCAGAAGAAAACTGCATGTGGGATCCAATGAAATGAACTAAAGAGCACACAGAGTATGAGACCCATTACAGAGCAGAGTGAAGTAAAAAAACGAGACAATACAATAGCATCCTCGAGGACGGGAGCAGCCTGTTGTCATTCTGAGTTGCAGCTCTGCGACAGTGAGACATATTGGACTCCGGTGAGGCCACGGCCCCAATGTCACTTCTGAGGTGAGGTGGGTGCAGGTGTTTTTGTGCAGGCACGCCAGTGAATGTGTCAGCGTGGGCCGCAGGGCGCAGTAGAAGACTCCGGAGTCGCTGGGCTTCACACGTTCGATATGAAGAGAAGCTTGCCGAGCGCTGGCATTCATGCTGCAGCGAAACCTTTCACGGTACTTTTCCGCTTTCTTAACCTGACCGAACTGATATGTGCTCAGGATGAAGTCAGGCAATGAGTTTACTTCTTTTTTGTACCAGAAGATGTAGTCAGTGTACGCCGAACTGGGGGAACTGCAGTCCAGCGTCACTGCTGCACCATCCACAGCGTGGACCCCCCGTTCTGGCTGGTGCTCTGTCTGGCCGCTGATTCCTGTCACTAAAAGGCAACAAAAGCGATCAAACATCAGTGGAAAGTGGCAGTGACTTCACATCTTGACCTCACCCAGGCTCCAAGCAGCCGTCAGCACACATATAAGCGCCACACTCATGTCTGCACTCACAGTCTGCATGAACGCTGACTTGTTGCTAAGGGGGCGGGGCCTTTCTGAAGTGTGCGACATCACACATGCACAACGGAAGTCATGTATCGCTGTGACGTGGAGCAGTGCACTGTGGTTCGCGTGAACGTCATCTTTGCCTTTCTTGATTTTAATTAGACAAATTTAGAGCTAATAATAAAGTAAACATGTTCATAATCATCTCGAGATGCGGGTGCACTTGCTTCCTGTCACTTCCGATACTCACCGACCTTCCTGCACGTGGCGAGCTGCCACTCGGCGAGAGGGAAAGCAGGAAACGTGTGACCTTTCCGTGCGTTTCAGAGTTGCTCTCGTTTTCAATGTTCTTTGTTATCGATCTTGATATTTGGTTGAACGTTATTGGGCTTGTGATATTTCGTTTGTGTATTCTCGGTGTTCTCTTGTACCTTGCCTCTGCAAGCGCTTTTTTTTTATGTATTGTTTTTTCGACCCCCGAGCAAATAGTAAGTTTTTTGGTTTGACTAATTAAAGTACAGATTCAGATAAAAAATGTTTTTTTTCTGAGCTTATTTCTTGTTCAAGCCAATCCATATTGTTGTGGAAAATAATTTAGCACGCACCCAGCATAATATGGTTTGGTTGTTTATTGTGGCCACCTACTTTTGAACAAAGAATCTTTCACTGAAAATTCTCTGTGAACCCCAAACAAGACAACCTTTGACTGAGGAGAGCCCAAAAGATCAGTTGTTTTCGAGACAGTCTGATTGCCTCACCCGACTGCGAAAAACTCAATTCTCAAATACTTCAACATTTTGCTTCAAAGCGAGAATTTCAGTTTCATATTCATGAAATGTGTACAGTACTGGACTGCCGAGCTCGCATCGAGAATGTCGGTGGTGGCCCGACAACAGTGCCATACTGGTCCAGGGCCATCAGGCCATTGGGCCACCGTTAATGTCGGATCCTGTATCATTTTACTTTACTTTGTATCATTACTTGGGACCACCTGGTAACATCAAAATAAGTGTGAGTGGCTTTTGAGCGGAACTTTGAACAGAGGCAACATGATGTCAGCATCGTGAAGCCAGAGGCGGTGGGCGTCGCCAATGTGGTTGCAGCTTTGTGTCACAGTGGATGTTGTTGCAAGTAGATTGTCTTCGGGGATGGGACAAGCATGACAGTGGAAATCAGTCGGATCTTAATATATACGGTAGCTTGTATTTTCCACCTCTTGTATTGACATCATTGTCAGTGAACACTTGTTTTTCTTTCTCCACTCTGTTTTTCGAGGAACGGTTCAGCTGCTTGCTTTTGCCACGAACCTTTCGTTTATTGCCTCAAGTGCGATGGCAACACGATGAAAAATGTACCCATCTTTTTTTATGCAAACAACATAATTCAAGACACTTGGAGAAGGGTGTCCAGTCGACATGGATGACATGAAAGTCTAGTGGACAAGGAACCTTGCTCTGAGGAATGCCGCTGTGAAGAGGTGGACCGCTGATGTGAAAGTAGTTTGAGTGTCGCAACTGGTAAATTTCCCATACATGCAGCTGGAACGAGGAGATATTTGGTACGCTGACGATACATTTTATTTGTGCGTGGAAACATGAAGGTAAATAACAAATGGGATTTTGCTTGAATCGCACTTTTGAAGGCACTCAAAGCACTTGAACAATCCTCATCAGCATCAGGTTTGGTATTTTGCTCAAGGACCCCTTGGGCATAGTCACTCAGGCTCAGAATTGGACCCACGACTTTCAGTCTGGAAAACAACCACAATACCACCTGAGCCATGACACCCCATAAGGATTCCACTTGCGTTCTTGTCAAGGTTTCTCGAAAGGTTTTTGTTGAGGGACTAACTAATGTGTGTCAGGAAACTGGAAGCGGTACCAGACTGACTGTCGTGACTCGCAAGTTTGGCTTTTATGTATCATGGCCCAAATTGTGTCACTACCTAAAAAGATGAGAAACTGTAAAACCAGATAAAATACATATTTTGTGTCCATTTTTTATACCGCGAAGCCTGTTGAGGTATGCAGCTTCACAACAGATCTCAGGAGGTTCTTGTTAAGGAAGTAACTAATGTGTGACAGGATTCGACAGGTTGTTTTTTGGAAGTGGAACCGATTGACGGTGGAAACCTGTAAGTGGGATTTTTTTTGGAAGAGAATTACTTAGTTTTGTTTTAGTAAAAATCTGAAACTGTGATGGTTCATATTTTTTTTCTTTGAGCCTCAGATTGTCTGAATGTGTAGTCGATGTTTGGATGTGGAACCAGATTGAGTGTTGACCCTGGTGAGTGGAAACATGGCAAAGTCGATTTGGCGGCTCAATTAAATGAAATTTGGAGATTTGGTTGTTACATGTTTACATGCTTTGTGTGAAACTTTCACAAGCTCTGTCGCGAACTTAATGTGAAAGTTATTGTTGCATATTAGAAATGTCAGGAACCAGCAAGTTTCTTCCAAACTACACGTAAACACCATAACCCAAACTGCATCACTGGAAAAAAATCTCAATTGTTGTTTTATTTCCATATTCATTTAGTGCTAAATTAAAAATAGAAACCAAACACTGAAAAAAAAATAGCCGTTCATGATTTTGGTCCCCATGGATGCTCGAACAGTGTTGCAAGGTGCTCTCCAATTGCCCACGTCAAATGCCCGGCCGAATATATCATCTGCAAGGGGAGAGTTTGCAGTTTAGCGAAATTAATGCACTTTGTGCACACCAATCTCATACATGTACCGCCGGGAGTCAATTTCTGCTCCAACAAAGTCCTTCGACTGCCTTGATTTTAAAAGGAGCGAGGGGAGCCGCTTCAATTGGACATTCAGATTCCACATTATGGTCATGAAAACCTTTGACACAACTTCCCCTGTAATGTGAGAATCTGGTTGGTGTTTTAGGGGAGGACTTTGAGCCATCCTTCTACAAACTTGAGGCCAGCAACCTGACGGCATGTCTCGCCACCGGCTTCAGCCGACGCAATGCCACAGAGAAGCTGGGAAAAAGTCACATGTTCGAGGAGTCTCGCCCCGTGCGAATCTCGGACGACTTGTTGTACAACCAGGTGGCACTGCTAACAGCCGCACATGACGGCACGTGTGACGAAGGTGAGGAGGGTCAGGCGAGGCCTCCAGTCATGTTAATGGAGTCACCGCCTCATGTCTGCTTCCTGTTTGGTCGCCACAGGTGAAAGTGGACCAGGGCGGTGCCAGGACGTGTTGGTGCCAGGTTAGTATTCAACATGCGAGAGGCGCAGTCTGTCGGGCTGAGTTTAATGTGCATGTCGCCGGCAGACGGCAAGGTGAACCTCCTCTCCCTTGCCGTCCTCACCCTGCGCCTCGTCTTCGCCAAGATGCTCGCCATCAACTGTGTCATGACGCTGGGCCTGTGGTTTGGCGCACCAGAGTAGCCAGCGCGGCGGCACCGTCTTCCTCTTCCTCCTCCACTCGTGTTAGAACTTGTCGCTTTTTTTATGTCAGTGAGCTATAAAATGCCTCATGATATCAACAAAAACTCAATAAAAGAAAAAAAAATTTAAAGGCTGTTGCTTCCTTATTTTTTGGATGATTCAAAAGAGCCCATCAAGATTCTACATTCAGAGAAACTAATAAGTCATGAATACAATACAAAGAAGACATCAAATCAGTATGAAAACAAATCGTTCAAATAGTAGAAAGACATTTTGAAAAGAAAAAAATAATCAACAATGTAGAAGAATTCAGTGTCCTCGATTCAACTTTTGTCATGACCTGGATGAATGAGAGTCAGCCCACACGTTAAAAAATGAAATCCCACATCATTTACCAAGCCAATCGGTATTTATTTTGTGAAGAGTAAAAAATGACTTGCGCTATCTCAGTGTGAGCATTGGTGTGTGTGTGATATCGTTTGTGTCTCTGCTGCTCTTTCCACAGGAAGCGGTTGCCATTGCACCTGCACCATAGATGACAGCGGTGATGGTTTCTGTCTCAGAAGCTTACTGGGACAGGATGTTTGTTGTGTGTACAAATGCACGTCAGGTAGAACGAGGAGCATCGTTTTCTGTAACTTTTAAACAGGTTGGATTTCAGGACAGTCCGTGATAATTGGATGTTCGTAGTGGGGTCTTTATTGCGTTTTAACAGTGAGGTCATCAAAGCTGTGTTCATATCAGTGTGCAGAGTGGGGATAGTTTGGATTTCTGGTTTTGTCACTTGATGTGCAGTAGCAGTCAGCAGCGCTGGTCCTTGTTGGTCTCCTGATCGATATTTATGCGGACCTTTCGCACGCCTGAGCTTTGACGTGGATGTCAGGAATGTTCTGGGACAACTTGTATCCTCTTGCGCCAGTGATGAATAAAAAGCCAGATGACATTTTCATTGTTGTGCATGCCAGTATGTGAACACAAAATCACTGCTGCCCTCAGAGTCACATTACACGTTGACCTCCTTGTGCTTGCATAACATCACAACAAAACATAAGATCAGTGAGTCTGAGATGAAGTTGAAATGAGCCCATGAGACACGAATGTCCCCTGCACAGCAGCAGCAGCGTGTTGTCACAGTGGCTCATCTCCTCCCGTGAGCCCCCCGTGCACGAGGCAGCTGCAGGTGTTTTTGTGCAGGCGCGCCAGTGGATGTGTTGGCATGAACTTCATGGCGCAGCATTCGCCCTTCACATGAATGCTAACTTGTGGCTTCGTGGGCACGGCCTTCACTTCCTGTTGCACATTCGAAGTCCTTCCTCGTCACAGCACCGTACTATGGTTCTTTCATGTCACTTGAAATTCATCCTGGCAGCATCTGCTTCTCCTTCTTCTTGCGAATAAATATTGGCTGATAAGCCATTGAGGAGAATCAGGCCTCTTCTGGCACACAGGAAGCCCCATGACACAACAGTGCCCTTCAAAAATCACCATGTCGTCTCTGAATGTCATCACACCTCCCTGACAAGAACATCTACAGATCCCAAAAAACTGTTGGTGCGAATAACACAGCAGATGGTCCTTTTCATCTTTGGCCCAGATAACACAATGAACATGATGACCAAAAACAAGTTGAAATGAGGGCTCCTCAGACCACAGCCCACGAGGTTGAAAAAAAATAGTATTTTGTTTTTGTTGACACATTGCACAACGTCCAAACTTTCGAATTGGCCTTTGTATATCTAGGTAAGTTGTTCCTCTCTTAGAGGTGAGTGTGATGAGTTCAGAAGCAGGAAATGTTCTTGTAGCAAGAATGTGGCATGTGTATCACTGTGGGCCTCACAGCACAGTAGTAAACTGCAGAGTGCTCAAGAGACACTTCCTCCATGTACAGGTGCACTCGCTCCCTGTCACTTGCTATGCTGACCGACATTCCCGGCTTGACCTTCAATGGTTTGCCGTTTCCTAAGTGGGAAAGCAAGAAGTGTGGCGCTTGTCCAGGAAGTTGTTTATACCACAAAAAATCATCACCACTAATAGCCTTATCGGCGTAAACATATGACACTGTCACCCGACTGCCTTTTGATGCCAACATTTCAGTTGTGACCGCCACCAGCTCGCCGCTGGTGCCTGAAGGATGAGAGAAAAGCAGTTTCAGCATTCACTTGAGTGGCTCTTCACCTCGCCAAGCAACACTCACCTGCCACCGTCGCCATGAGCAGCAACCAAGCTGACAGCAACATACCGAAGAAATTTCTGTCAACTCTGCTTCGTCTTCTGAACTCAAGATCTCATCGCGTAACTGAAGCTCCTCTCTGATCACGCGAGGCCACGCCCCGAGCTGCCCTTTTCTCTTATTGTGGACAAGGAAACTTCCAAAGATTCCAGGTGACGTGCCTTGCGAGACATGCCCGCTTTTCCAGGAAGACAAAAAAGTGGAAAAGAGCACGCTTTCCTTTCATTTCGCTATTTTTACTTGATCTGATGTGGGCATTTGGTCGGATACAAAGGGTGCCATTCGTCGTGAGTACAATGAAGTTAGGACAAATCTACTCACCACCTCAGAATTGTCTTCATGCCAAGAGAATGGAAGGTTGGAGCTGCCATTGTGTTCGTTTTTTTTTAAATCATAATGTCACTGGGTAAGCGCATGCAGAAGTTAATAGCCCGTGGCAATTATGGGGGAAAAAAAAACTGCCTGACGTAAATCATGCACTGCAGACATAATAAAACATGATGAACAATGTTGACTTGTTTAATAATTGGACGTACCTGCATTCTAAAACAGGCAGGACAGTGGCTCTCTGGGTTCGGAGTGTAGTCCGTTGCTCTTTTGGTCATTGGATATTACGTTTCAAAACAGATACTGTCTTAAAAGTAGAAAACAAGTCGTTATTGAACCTTTTTTTAATATCGAAATGCCAACATTGAAATGCAGCTTGATGTTCAAGTTTATTGTCTGTAACGAAGAAGGACAAGTCTAAAAACAGGTTCCTATTAATTTTTTTGAACGAAAATATAATTTGGCACAAGACACAAACGGAAATAGGGGGTTCTTTTTCGATTACCGGAAGTTGTCACCGTCAGCATTTCTCCTACTGCCCAGGAGAGGGCGACAACGTGACGCCTGAAGACGGTATCGTGACCTTTTCTTGAATGCTCCAGCTCTATCCTGAATTCCGGAAACGAGCTACAGGTGTGGAAAATTGTTGGTACCCTCTCTTCCATAAATAAGGAATAATGAAACAAACAAACAAAAACAATAAGTCAAAATCATGAATGAAAATCAGAAGTTGCTGTTGAATTCTGATTTAAATAATAATCATACCTCTACCACTACTACTAAAAAGATAACAAATATGAGCAGCATTCTTGCTTGGGCGACAAAAAAATAAATAAATCTTGGGTCACAAATGCTCCACCACCAAAATAAACAAAAATCCAACACTTTCCTTGTTTTTTCCTAACAATATGTGTTCACTAATTTACAAATACGACGGGCCAATGTATGTGTGACATCAGTGAGATTTTAACAGAAATAAAATCACAGGAGCTGACCAAGGTTGCTGTGACGGCAGTTTATTCCCTGTATGCTGACAGCAAAATGGGGATGAGTGCCATCTCTGTTAGCAAATGGCATTTGTTGGGGTGAAAGCCGGCCTTTCTCTTCCTCCACGTGTTCGTTAATTTCGGATGATGAGGTGTTGGTTATCCAAATACAGGCTGGAGACGATGAACAGTACCTTCAAAGGTTTTATTTTTCTTTTCTGCAGTTTACAAATCGATTCGGGCTCCTGAGAGTTTCAGATTTTCTCAGGAAGCCCAGAAAAAATACAATCATGAGAATATATTGAGACAATATGATAATGAGAGGCGGGGAGTTATGCCTCCATGCAAATCCCGGAAGCAAAGACACTAACATGTCATTTGACTAGAGGTAAGATCGGGTCTAAAAAATCCACCCCGACCCAGCCCGTGGGTATTAAAGCCCGACCCGGCCCAAGCCCGACCAATTAACTTGATTTGCAGGCCCGAGCCCGAAGCGAGCCCAAAATTTCATATTTTATTTGTGAGGACTCGGGAGGAAGATGGGTGATTTATGATAACAAATTAAAGCCTGTCTTATGCAACGAAATCTAAGTTAAACAAGACTCGATAAACATTTACATCTTTTATATTTCTGTTCCTGCAGAGGGTACATTAACTGACAATTTTCCATCATTGACGGATTTTTTTAAGAGTTGACGGAAAAAATTTAAGGCGATCCGTCATTTTTGGTTGAAAATTGGGCCATAGACCACAACAGCAGTATGTCCTTAAGAATCTAGCGCGGCACTTTGAGAGAAGCAGACCGCTTAGTTTAGTATCCACACATTGTTTTAGTATACATTTTTATCAACATATATTTATTTTAAAAAAATCAGCGAGAGAGAACCCGGCCCGACCCGATGCAATGATTGACATTTTAGGCCCGACCCGACCCTGGGCTCGGGCTTGGGCTTAAGATCTTACCTCTACATCTGACCCGGTGTGGCTGGAAAAAGTTGGGAGTGGTGAGGTGACACCAGACCACCACTACCCATCATTGTCTTCGGTCTGAGCTTTGATGTGATGGCAGCAAAACAGATACTTGAGATAACAGTTCTTCTTTTGATGTTAAACATGTCCTCTGGATGGGTCCTAAAAGTGGTGGGGGTCAGAGGGCACTAAAGGTGATTGTAAGTCGTAGAAAAGATGACAGTTTAAACCGCGTTTTCCGTTTTACAGTCGCATGCTCGCACCGTAATGTTAAGAAAATAGCATCCATAGATGTATCGAAAAAATTCAGCGAACTATTTGATGAACACCACGGGCCTAGTAAAAACCGAGGGCGGAGGAGCACGGCGGCGGAGGTGGCGGGTTCAATGTCTTCTTGTTTTATGTTTTATGGTTATTTTGTTTAAATTTTTGATGGGAAAAAAAAGATTAAAAAAAAAAAAAACTTTGTCCGACCAACCGACCCTATGCTGAAATTTCATGTTACCGGAAACACACTATCTTTTTTGTTTGGCCTAATCACAGTGAGCAGGAAATACTAGTGATGTGCTCCACAGGTCGAATCCCTGAAGCGTGTGCCGAGTACTGTAATCTAAATGAGTGGTTCATGAATGGGGAGTCGAAGCGCGTGTTGATGACGTCAGTTGTGACGTTTGAAGCCACGCGAAAGGGGTGTACCACGTGACTAATTCAGGAAATGATACGATAGGTTCGAGTGTTGTTCGAAATAAAAGCGACAAAGAAACGCTGTGGATTCTCCTTCATACCAACTTTCTACAACATATCTATGCACCCCTGCTTCATCAGCACCATGTGAAAGAGTTTATTCAAAAGCAGGTGAAATTCTCTGCAAAAAAAGAAACCGCCTGAGTCCAAAAACTTTGGATAAAATATTGTTTTTAAATAAAAACGAATAAGCATTTTATTTTACCTCCTTATTTCACATTTTCACTTGCATATGCATAAGCGCAAACATAGACAAAGTAACACAGAACAATTCTTGTAAAAACACTCCTCAAATACAGATTATTATGTGTTCAGAGCATGATTTACACCCCACCATTTTATTGCACGCACCAAGCATGTTATACATTTTCCTGTCCACATGATGGCGTAGTCGAGGAAATGATTCACCTTGAAGCCCCGAAGTGTGTGCAGTATTTCCCTGCAGGGCTTTACTGCTTTCTGGGGCTTCATTTTGTCATCACTAGGAAATACCCTTAACAGCATATGACATTCTTTCTCTCAAATGTTTGAACAGATCCAACTAACAGAGAGGGGCTCGGAAATCACAGTGAGGAATAGATTCCTGAACACATTCTTCTGATTGAAAAATGGTACAGAGTAAACATGAGCCATTTCCAGGATGAACTTTAAAAAGTCGAACAAAACAAGTCAAATATTAATTTGACTAATTAAGGTTTGCAACACTTGAATTTATTAAATCACTGAGTTTACAATACTGGACTTTGTCCACGGGCGGCCCGGTGGCCAGTGGTTAGTGCGTCGACCTCAGACTGCAGAGGTCGTGGGTTTCATCCTTCCCACATTCCAAAACCGTGCGTGGCAGGTTAATGGAACAATTGTCCCTCGGTGTGAGTGTGAGCGTGGATGATTGTTAGTCTGTGTGCGCCCTGCGATTGGCTGGCAACCAGTTCAGGGTGTCCCCTGCCTACTGCCCGAAGACGGCTGGGATAGGCTACAGCATGCCTGTGAGATTCACGTGGATAATGCTATGCATTTGCATTGTACAGATGTATTATGTCGCTATAGTTTAGCTAGCGCCTGACTCGTGTCTGCACTCACCGTCGGCATGAACGCTGATTTGTCCCTGAGGGTGCGGGACCTTTCTGAAGTAGTGACATCACACATGCACAATGGAAGTCGTGCATTGGTGTGAGGAGAAGAGTGACCCCCTTCGTCGCAGCAGCGCACTGTGGTTCGTCATTATCTTGATTTGAATCCTACCAATTGACATATAATAAAGTAAATACGTATTTAATCAGCACATCATTGTTTCACACAATTTTATTGACATTTGTGTACCGGTAATATAAATAAACTGAATTTAAAAGTAACATTTGAGTCTAAACCCTTTAATTGAAGATCATAAAAAGAAAACTCAAGATGAAATAACTTCTTTCGAATAAAACAAAATCACAGCAAATGTAAGGTTAACTCAAGAAGCCAAACTGTTACTGTCACCCAAATAAAACAGCGAGGGATAAAGAAAACACAACAACAACCAAAGAGAAACCAAACATGCATCCTTCCATCTATTTTCGAATCTGCTTTTGCTCAAAAGAGCCGCATTGTTTATCATATTTTTTAAACAAGCGCAAAGGTAAGAATTGCTGATTTTAGAGGCCTTTTATTTTGAAATGTAACATCAGATCATAAAGAAAGTACTGTGGTGAGATACCTGGGGTGGCATAGTGTGCCTTTGGCCTGGTCTGGTTGCGGGAAAACAAAAATACTTTTTATTTATGTATTTTTTTTTTTTTTTAAATTAGGTGACATTTTAGTGATTGATGGAGCGGTAACATTGACTTTATTTTTTTGTCTCAAATTGAACACGCTTCTTGGTGCTATTCTGAGAGAGTTTTCATTCTCTCTGGGTGAACTCATCGTTGCCTGACCGCCAAGAAATTATTTTGAAACATTTTAAATCCAAACCGCTGACGGTTTGGAAAGCTTTTATTTTGAAGGTGGTTATCGGCGCGAGCTGACTGTCCATCAGCACCGACCTTTTTGCTGAACAAAGCAGGGCTGT